CATCGGTTTAACAAATGTAAAACCGATGTAGCAAAAGTTCTCAATGTAAATAAATACATTTCGTTGTCCTCCTTATTCAAATATGTTTTGGAACTATTTTCTTCAGTGGATGTGTAAAGTGCCTACCGGTACTTCAATTCACCAACCTTTATTGGCAACGGTGCCTCAGAGCAAACAATGAACAAAAAGGTAATTGGAACCAAATGAATCATTAACAGAAATGTTACGTTTTTTTATTTTTTATTTTTATTTATACTGATGACTTGGAAAATGTTTGCAAATATATGAAAAAACAGATGCTCAAAATTTTACTCTTGTCTCTCACTTGCTAATGAGTTTTGTTTATTTTCTAAACATTTTGTGATATTTTTCACAATGGTCTGATCTGAACTATTTGTCCAAATAAAAATTTTAATCTTGCTGCGAACAGGCTGCAGTAAACTCTATGGATGTCTAAACATCCAATTGATAAAAAATAATAATAAAAATAAAATAAAAAGTTATTATTATTAAAAATAAAACAAGGACTAAGCTCAACCATGACCACTCTGTGCTTAATTTTGAGTAAGCACCAGAATATGAGTTTACGTATATATTTCAAACAGATTATTTCAAAAAAATGTTTTAAGACATTCAGACTGCAATAATAAAATGAAAAAAAAGTTAGGGGTTCAAAGTGTAGCAAGAGCAATACTGAACTGGCTTTTGCTTTGACATACAGTGAAAAGTTTGAAAGTGACAGGGTAACCACATTGTCGATTAAAATGTTCTACAATTTTGTCCCATTTAGACCATGAAAAAAAGTACTAGGGGCTACATTTTCCTGCCCAGGTCCAACCCATGTATGGTTAGCCCATGCTCATGTCATGTTAGTTTAATGTGGACAGCCCACATTGGGCTTCTCATGTGGGGCCCATGATACTGAAACCACATGGGCCCCAAATAGTGTTGCCCATTTCTGTCCCATTTCCAGTTAGCCCACATTGTTGCTGAATAGGGCCCATACATTTAGCCCAAATGGGCCAGCCCATAGGGGTCCCATTTTAGTTAACCATATGTGTCCCATGAGGTTTGCCCAGATAAAACCCATGACCACTCATTACCCATATGGCCTACTACAAACCCAAGGGGGGCCCACTCATGCGTACTGGCTTGGAGACTGGACTGGACTGTTCTAGCATAAAATAATAACATGAAAAAATGTTAAGGGTTCAAAGTGTGGCTAGAGCAATACTGAACTGGTTTAAAAAAATAAAGCATTGTAGAATTATTTTTAATGTTTTAATATCCTGGTCCTCTGGAAGCCTAGTGTTTGTAAATGAGCCAGGCATAGATATCACACAGTGAACATGTTTTAGGTTCAAACATTAGGAAGACATGGATGTTCTGTTCTATCAGCAAAATATATCCTTGGGTGATCTCCAAGACGAGGTCACCTTCGTCCTGGAGACCTCGACAATGGTCAAGGTCACCAACCTTTACTATCGTCGAGGTTTCCTACAAGGAAAAAATTAAATTCTACAATTTACCTTACATCAACTCCATTAGAGGCCAGCTGAGTAACAATTGCCTTGGCAAAGACTATAAAGCTGACATCTCGGGTAATTCTTTCCAAGTTTTGAGAATCTTGCTCTTGCAGCTTTTGCTTTGACATACAGTCAAAATTTTGAAAGTGACAGGTTAACTACAGGGGTTGGACAATGAAACTGAAACACCTGGTTTTAGACCACAATAACTTATTAGCGTGGTGTAGGGCCTCCTTTTGAGGCCAATACAGCATCAATTCGTCTTGGACAAGTATGGGGCCAAGGGAATGCCATGATATGGCAGCCCACACCATCAATGATCCACCCCCATGCTTCACTCTGGCATACAACACTCTGGCTGGAATGCATCTTTGGGGCTTCTCCACACCATAACTCTCCCGGATGTGGGGAAAACAGTAAAGGTAGACTCATCAGAGAACAATACATGTTTCACATTGTCCACACAAGATTTTCGCTCCTTGCACCATTGAAACCGACGTTTGGCATTGATACGAGTGACCAAAAGTTTGGCTATAGCAGCCCGGCTGTGTATATTGACCATGTGGAGCTCCCGACGGACAGTTTTGGTGGAAACAGGAGAGTTGAGGTGCACATTTAATTCTACCGTGATTTGGGCACCGTGGTTTTATGTTTTTGGGATACAATCCGGGTTAGCACCCAAACATCTCTTTAAGACAGCTTCGTCTTGCATCCACAGTTAATCCTGTTAGATGTGGTTCGTCATTCTTGGTGGTATGCTGACATTACCCTGGATACTGTGGCTCTTGATAATCACAAAGACTTGCTGTCTTGGTGAACAATTTGCCCTCTTTTGAACTCCAGTATGTCCCAAATAATGTTATGTGCATTGCAATATTTTGAGCAAAACTGTGCTCTTACCCTGCTAATTGGACCTTCACACTCTGCTCTTACTGTTGCAATGTGCAATTCATGAAGATTGGCCACCAGGCTAGTCCAATTCAGGCATGAAACCTCCCACAGTAAAATGAGAGGTGTTTCAGTTTCATTGTCCAACCCCTGTACAAATTGTTCTACAATTTTGTCTCATTTAGCCCACTTAAAAAAGGACTGGGGTCTACATATCCACACCCAGGTCCAACCTGGGCGTGGATATGTACTGACCACACTGAACCCACAGTGGGTTCAGTGTGGTCAGCCCACATGGTCTCCCCATGTTGGGCCCATGACATGAGCCCATGCTCATGTCATGTGGGTTCAGTGTGGTCAGCCCACATGGTCTCCCCATGTTGGGCCCATGATACTGAAACCACATGGGCCCCACATAGTTTTGCCCAGTTCTATCCCATTCCCAGTTAGCCCACTTAAAAAAGGACTGGGGTCTACATATCCACACCCAGGTCCAACCTGGGCGTGGATATGTACTGACCACACTGAACCCACAGTGGGTTCAGTGTGGTCAGCCCACATGGGCTTCCCATGTTGGGCCCATGAAACTAGAACCACATGGGCCCCACATACTGTTGCCCAGTACTATCCCATTCCCAGATAGCCCACTTAAAAAAGGACTGGGGCCTACATATCCACACCCAGGTCTAACCCATATATGGTCAGCCCATGCTGATGTCATGTGGGTTCAATGTGGTCAGCCCACATGGGCTTCCCATGTTGGGCCCATGATACTAGAACCACATGGGCCCCACATACTGTTGCCCAGTACTATCCCATTCCCAGATAGCCCACTTAAAAAAAGGACTGGGCCCACATATCCACACCCAGGTCTAACCCATATATGGTCAGCCCCATGCTGATGTCATGTGGGTTCAATGTGGTCAGCCCACATGGGCTTCCCATGTTGGGCCCATGATACTAGAACCACATGGGCCCCATATAGTGTTGCCCAGTACTATCCCATTCCCAGATAGCCCACTTAAAAAAGGACTGGGGCCTACATATCCACACCCAGGTCTAACCCATATATGGTCAGCCCATGCTGATGTCATGTGGGTTCAATGTGGTCAGCCCACATGGGCTTCCCATGTTGGGCCCATGATACTAGAACCACATGGGCCCCACATACTGTTGCCCAGTACTATCCCATTCCCAGATAGCCCACTTAAAAAAGGACTGGGGCCCACATATCCACACCCAGGTCTAACCCATATATGGTCAGCCCATGCTGATCATGTGGGTTCAATGTGGTCAGCCCACATGGGCTTCCCATGTTGGGCCCATGATACTACAACCACATGGGCCCCATATAGTGTTGCCCAGTACTATCCCATTCCCAGATAGCCCACTTAAAAAAGGACTGGGGCCTACATATCCACACCCAGGTCTAACCCATATATGGTCAGCCCATGCTGATGTCATGTGGGTTCAATGTGGTCTGCCCACATGGGCTTCCCATGTTGGGCCCATAATACTGAAACCACATGGGCCCCATATAGTGTTGCCCGTTTCTGTCCCATTCCCAGATAGCCCACTTAAAAAGGACTGGGGCCTACATATCCACACCCAGGTCTAACCCATATATGTCAGCCCATGCTGATGTCATGTGGGTTCAATGTGGTCTGCCCACATTGGCTTCCCATGTTGGGCCCATGATACTGAAACCACATAGGCCCCATATAGTGTTGCCCGTTTCTATCCCATTCCCAGATAGCCCACTTAAAAAGGACTGGGGCCTACATATCCACACCCAGGTCTAACCCATATATGGTCAGCCCATGCTGATGTCATGTGGTTCAATGTGGTCTGCCCACATGGGCTTCCCATGTTGGGCCCATGATACTGAAACCACATGGGCCCCATATAGTGTTGCCCAGTACTATCCCATCCCAGATAGCCCACCTAGTTGCTGAATAGGGCCCATGCATTTAGCCCATATGGGCCAGCCCATATGGTCTCATTTAAGTTAACCATATGTGTCCCATGCAGTTTGCCCAGATAAAAAACCCATGCCCACTCATTACCCATGTAGCCCACATCAAACACAAGTGGGGCCCACTCATGCGTGCTGGCTGGGTAATGGTTTATGACGCATTGCCGATAAGATATGGGGGATGTAAGCATGTTAGTTATCCGACACTGTTGGGTTTGAATTTTGAGAACTCTTACAAAGAGGGGCTGCTGCAATGCAAAAAAGATCTTGAAGAAGATGCTGTATACATTTAGAAATGTTTTATAACAGTAATATAACAAAATATGTGTAATAATTTTCCAAAAGTATATCAGAGTCATCAGCACAGTTTCAATGGTAATAGCAAAAAAATAAATAAATAAAATGGATGCTCTTTGAAAGCACCAACACCTGACTCATAAATCAAAGTCCTCATCTGTATTTTAACTACAGCCTGAGGGGAACAGCAGCAAACTGTCCTCATACGATCTGATCTTTCTCCAAGTTATACAAAAACTGCTATTCACTTAATTATCACAAAGCATCACACTGCCAGAGACACACAGACACACAAAGCCCTTTTTCTTTGTTACCTGATGCTGCTCATGCTGCCTGCATCCGATCCCAGCTTGCATCTCTCCAGCTGGGTGGCAACAATCTGACGTTCAGCTTCAAGTTCTCTGGTCAGACGTTCAAACTGAAGCTCCTGGTGAGATAAAAGATACACAGTCTGAGTTTCAGTAATCAATAGTATTTAAGGCATGCTAGGGTGTGTATGTAAATAACTCACATATTTAGGTGGAAATACTCAACTTGTATTTGAAGTGTAAAAGGGAGAAAGAGCAAAATAGCACAAAAAACAATACTATATATTACAAGACAGTATTGTGACATCCATACATCCATTTCCCTAATTTCCACAGTGAGAAACAACAACTTTCACTTTGGGCTGGACAATGTGGCTAAACATGATATGTGTTTCACATCAGTCAAATTTGGTAATTGTCTACGTCAATTGTTCATTTATTGTCCTCCACTACTTTCACTTACAAAGTTTATGACTTTTATGATAGAATATCCTCTGGTCCTTATATATATATATATATATATATATATATATATATATATATATATATATATATATATATATATAAAATGTGTGATGGAACTTAAGACCAAATGAACTGGCATTTGCTGACAGATGGATTTATTCATTGAATTGACTGTGAAAAAGGTCATTTTCACCCTGAACCCCAGATAAATTCATAAGTGTGTGTGTGCACAAGCATGTGTTGTAGTTAATAACAGTGTGGCGGTTGATCAAGAATGCAAAAATGGTACCATGTTAGAGATGCTCTGTATAGTATCTGAGCACATGTGTGAAAACCCTGAGAAGAGAAAGAGAGTTGGAACAAGAAGAAGAGAGAGTGAATGCTGGTTTGATTGGTTATCTCAAAGTCATTTGAAGCTCTGAGTGAGCTGATTCCCAGTCGCTATCTTGGGTTTCCAACTTCAATCGCACCCCCACCCACAACAAAACACAGCACAATGCAATTCATCTCCCTCTCCGTCTCTTCCATACATCTATTTTGCACATGCTTTCAGAAAAAGCTCAGTCATAAATATGCACACTCCCCTTTTATCTGATTTTCGTTCAAATCTATACCTGTTTTTTTATGTTTTTATTTTATTATTATTGTTATTAAAACTCCAGTGTCGACTACTTGTATATATAATGGTGCAATAAGCTCATTAGTTCACTGCTCATGTGATATACAGCAAAACAGAAACTAATTAAAAGCAATGTCTCATCCCATGACAATACTAGTGACACAAATTCTATTACAATTCATTCTGCCTTTCTTTGTGCCTTCCTTTGTTTATTGGTATTCTTCCTGTCAGGTACTCTTGTATAAATTTTATATCTTCAAACCACAGTAAGATAAATCTCAGATATGTGAACAAAGAAACAGGTTTTATCAACACTTGCTTGTCTTTAAAGTGAGGGAGTCAGGGAGTTTCTATTACACCCTTAGGACATCCACTTGTGAATTACAGTTTTGTTTTACAAAGAGCTGCCTCACTTCAAAGCTCGGTTCTGCTTTTCATAGCACACTGTGTTGTCACCTCGTTTGCAGCAGTTACAAATTATTTAAATCCTCAAGGTGTAAAAATGTAAATCCCTAAACCCAGAGTGACATTATGCTAATCGATTAGTTTTAATGCTTCAATGACCAAATGTATTTTCTGGCTTCTAAGGCAACAAAGTGATGTCTGGAAAAGGTGAGTGACATTGTGGACAGGTTTTTCATTGTTCAATGTTACATAACCTTTCTTCAAAGATTTTATTAATTTTGAACACTTTAAACAAGAAAAGGTTGATAAACGGCACATGGCTAATGCCTTAGTCATGAACCTGACAAGAAAAAATGCCAATTTTATTGTTAGATCTGCTGTATTTTATGCTCATTCGTCAGTAATGAGCATAATTAGCATAAAATAATTTCTAGGTTTTTACAATAAATACAAACAAGTTGGGAAAATGTGATACACTTTTCAGGATAGTAAAGAAAAATCCTTTACTTTATAGCTGCAACCAAAACTACACTACCCCTCCTAAATCCAGGGCTCAAGAAATGAATGGACTCCTTTGCCTGTAGCATCTTGATGTAGGCTTTGTCAAGGAAGCAAACAAATATTACCCCATAATTGAACACATAGCTTTTGGGTTTTTTTGAGCAGTAAAAATTTGAGGAGTAAAAATTGTTGAACACTGATATACAATTTTACCAAGACACCCTTTTACATCACCTCTAGAATTATGAGGGCTTGTATGAAACTGGAAATATGTAATATATGCTCAATAAGTACTGTCTGAAGCATACAAAATTTAATTTGTATCGAGTATTTCGCAGGATTTCTAAAAATTATTATTATTTACTTTAGTTTTTCTCACATAGCAGCAGGTCTTCTAGATGGTCAGACAGTCTGAGAAGTTGACAATTTTGAAATAGTGAATATTAATGAAATTGATCAATATTAAAATTATTATATGATACACAAATCACACTTCGGCAGGCCCACAATGAACGAGTTGGGACTTTACCAACTCATATTCAATCCCTGAATTAAATAAATACATATTTATGTTTCTCTTAAAACAAATAATATAACATTTCAATGTTGCACAGGTCTTACCGCAGAACCCGATCAAACCCAAACATTATACTTCGAGTCCAAACTCCCCTTCCACAGCCCTCGTCTATTCACTAACCTGGATCACTCTCACAAGGCTTCTGCTCATCTATTAATTATACAATGCAGTGCAGAGAATTATCATATAACTTTGGAATGAAAAAAAGAAAAAAAAAGAAAAAATGCTCTCAACTTTTAGGTCGGTCTGAAAGATGCAAGTGCATGAATGACTTAGACTATCCCAAAAGCAAAAACATCAGCAATGAATTTTGAGGAGCTTCTCTTGCTGCCCATCGGTTATTAATGGGTTATAAATCCATGTTGAAACAATTTGGAGTCCAATGATGTATATAAATGCTGTTTCTTCCAGGTCTAGATTATCTCAGAGTTTTTCTTGAGATCACACGGAGCAATTCTCAGAGTAAATAAATAAAGCATTTTCACTCCTTTGATCCAACCTTAGAAGAGTGAAAAGTGGAGGGAATTGCACTATACTCCATAGACAGGAAATATATGCAAAATCTCAGACATCATCTTCCTCACAGAAAATATGCAGAGAGAAACTGTCTTGTAAAAATTATGTTCAGTGCTGATTTCCCTTTATCTACTTGGTCTTATTTTCAGGTTTTCTTCATAAATAAGATAATTCAAAATACAATAATTAGAGGATCAACTTTGGTGCTTTGAAAAAACAACTGAAGCTCATGAAGTCAGTTTAGGATTCAGCAGAGAACCGTTTCAGCTATGTTTGTCCTGTCTGTCACTGTAATGAGCATGTAAAACCCCATCAGGAGTAGAGCTTTGAAAAGGAACGCTGGAAGACAGGAAAGAAAGAGAAAAGAGAAAAGAATCCAACAGAGACCAAGACGACTGCTGATGAATGCCACACGAAATGATGGCCAATGGAGGGAAACCTGATCCACTTTAACGCATCTCTCTGCACGTGTATCCAAAAAAGGAGAAAGTAGTTTAAGTTTTGATGAACTTAGAGAACCAACTACTTTATGAAAATAAGGGGAAAATCTTAGGGGTTTATGGAAACAACAATAATACAGATTTGTTAATAGAAAATTATGGTGCTATTGGAAGACACAGTATAGCATGTCAACATGATTCTTACCTTAGGGGTTACATAGGGAATGCATTTTTTTTCCATGCTAATAACACAACAGCTATTTGAACACTAAACACCACATTCACATTTTTAAAATGAATACAGTCAGTAGCTATGTTTGGTGTGCACTGCTTACAGAGGACTCGATACCAACTGAAGTGTTTGTCGTGCAGCTTGTTCTGAAAGCTCTCATCCATCACTTTTTTATATTTCTTGCATTATCACGCAAAATAATGTAGACATGCTGCTCATCTATTCCTTGTGTGATAGCATTCCCTCCACTACTTGCTTTACATGCTCTACAGTATGTGAGCCACAACACTGACAAACAGTACATATTTGATCGAATGAGTCCATTAAGAGAGATTGGGCTTGGCGAAAACATAAAAACTCCATATTTGTATCATTTTGCATGCTATCAAAGGCAATAGCATAAACACTGCATTAGATATGTTGTATTCAGTGATGAATTTCTACATAAAGCATGAGCATTGAGAGCACAGGTTTTACCTTTGCAAAAAAAAGTTAGAAAATAATCTATATTCCAAATTTAGCCTGACAACTTAAAGAATAATAATAATAATAATAATAATAACAAAAAATATATAAGTTGTTTAAAGTATCACTCAGGAGGTCACATTTACTTATAGTGACAATGAATGTTATCCATTTTCACTTATGCGTTTGAACTTATTAAAGCAGAATTATTGTCTGATACATCACTGACTGTGACTAGAGTTATATGTGGATATATCAGAGAGGATTTCAACCCAGAGAAGATTGTCCTGTCAACATTAGAGCTTCATGCATGGCACAAAGTAGGTGGAAAATTAAAGACGAAGGATTATTTCCAAAGACGTCAACTTCTTCTCAAGTCAAAACCTAAAAGGTTGAAAGTAGGACACAAATGTGTGCTGCAACAAGTTAAAGATCCCAAACGTTCAATAAAACTGGTTTTGGAATGAATATAGCAAGTGGACAATAATCTCAAACCAAAAAAAAGAAAAAAATTATTTTTTTATTGTCAATGAATGCTGAAATTATGAAAATAGTGATCATACCAAAGAACAACTCAATCTTGCTTTATTCTGCATCAGTTACACATATGATCACTTGTCTTTTCTCACAACACGCTGCTACACACTAGAGACAAAACTCATACATGTAGCAGTGATGTACTGCCCTTTTACTTTGACAGCCTAGATCTTTTAAAAGGGCTTCAAAGTTGTAGTTTATCTGACTTCTGTATTTTCTGAAACTTTCAAACACTCCCATAAACACTTAGGTAGCATGGATGTGGTTAAAAAAAGAAAAAAACATATACCTTCTACTATCTCTTTTAAAGTTTATTATAGGTAAACAAGTCATGTCTAGAATAAGCATCTCCAATTCTAGAG